TCAAGATCCCGACCGTTGTTGCTACCTTGACGTGGTGGTCGGGCTTGCCTATCGTGATGAAGCAACCGAGCTATACTGGCTGGAACAATCGTTCCTCAAGGTCCTACCATGTCAGACAGGTCGGTTGAAGAACGGTAAGACCTAAAGCAACAAACCCAAGGTCCGAAGGCGAAGTCGTACTGCTGACTGTACAGAGGTGTGACAGCAGTAAGGTGTTTCCTTCAGACAACCAGCATGACAGCGATGCTGCCTTCCCACAAAGAGGGGTGGGGTTAGAAAAGGTCAACTCCCAAATGCCCTGGTACGGCCGAGAGTGGTGAGAGTCCGCTCTCCCTCTCGAAATACTCTCACACGGCCACGCGTATATAGCCTCTGCCAGGGAAGTCCTACTCACTGCCTTCTCGTGGCGGGGGTGTTGTTTACGAAAATGAGAGGACGAAAAGCGAATGTCCGGCGCTTTAACCGGATTCCAAACCAATGGTGCACATGGGCTCCAGTATCCTGCAGGAACAAATGGCGAATGAACCAATTGTTGGTCACCGGCTTCCATGGGACTGCATCTCCTTACGATGCTCCACTGCCTTGTGGATCAGACCTTCAGGTCGAAGGCTCGGGATGTGGCCCCCTAAAAAAACCACCTGCTTCGGTTTGGGCACCCGAGCAGTATCACAGCCTTCACACAATTCAAATGAAATTTATGTGGCGCATATGTATTCGGTGCCTCTTTGTACCATTATTTATGTGTTGAAATAAATAAATAATCCCACGGATATCCGTCTCCGGCGGTAAGGTCTCAATAAGTACGGAGCTAACACAAAAATTGCCCATAACAAGGTCGTGTGTGACCGACCTCAAGCAGTTGTCCCTTGGGCACTGCGGTCACGCTCTCAGGTCACTAAGACCACCCTTTAATCCAATTTCCTTTTCAGGTACCTCCAGAACAACCCTTCCACGGTGTGGGCGACCGGGAAGTGATAACCGCCCTCATACCTCTAACAGCACTCAAGACCACTGTATTCATAATCAACCTCCCTCTTCAATTCCTAATATTCCTCCTACTTCGAATTTCAACTCTAAATTTCCTCTCTCGGCTTCCACCTCAAGTGTCACCATAGCCAACGATTCTAGTGCGCAAAACACTGTCCCAGGTCTACTGAAACCTCGCTCCAAACTACACATTGAAGTCTTCAACGTACGAACCCTATGTCAAATCGGTCAGCAGGCTTCCTTGGCTAAAACCCTAGAGTCTCTTACCATTGACGTGTGCTGTTTCTCCGAAACATGCATACAGGATTCCAGTGTTATTCACTTGACCTCACCTCGGCGAAATGGAGAGCCAACGAGATACACCCTCCATGTATCTGGTAACCCGATGGCTAGTTCTCGTGGACTGGCAGGTGTAGGCATAGCACTAGGCATGAGGGCGGAACAGACACTGCTAGAGTGGATCCCCGTCAACAGTCGTCTGTGTGCTGTTCGGCTAAAGGGCTACGTAAGAACTCGGAAGGATAGGGACATACGTCGTTGCCTTTTTGTCGTTTCTGCCTACGCTCCCACTGACTGCAGCTCAGATGAAGTGAAAGATGAATTTTACAGAAAGCTATCCGAACTTCTTCAGAAAGCTAAACGCTCAGACATAGTACTCGTAGGGGGTGACTTTAATGCTCAGATAGGCAGTTTAAACCAAACAGAAAGGCACTAAGCAACAATGCCAGAATGTTTGGAATGCGCTTCTCTCCCTCGAAATGCAAGTTGTTGCTTCAGGACTGGTCTGCGTCAACACCTGAACTAAGGATAGGGAGTGAAGTAGTCGAACGCGTTGGCAACTTCACTTATCTTGGAAGTCTGATCAGCCCTAACGGGTTGGCATCGGACGAAATCTCAGCACGGATTCGAAAAGCTCGTTTGGCTTTTGCCAACTTACGTCACCTTTGGCGAAGGCGAGATATCCGTCTATCAATAAAAGGACGAGTATACTGCGCGGCAGTCCGTTCTGTTTTACTTTACGGCAGCGAAACATGGCCTTTAAGAGTAGAAGACACTCGTAAGCTATTAGTATTTGACCACAGATGCCTAAGAAATATTGCTGGGATAACCGGGTAAGTAATAGTGAGGTTAGACGCAGGGTATTAGGAAATGATGGTAAATCAGTTGATGAGGTTATGAATCTTCATCGACTGAGATGGTTGGGCCACGTGTTACGTATGCCTGAACACCGATTACCACGACGTGCAATGCTATCCGGTATTGGAAATGGTTGGAAGAAAGTTAGGGGTGGCCAAACCAAAACGTGGCATCAGTGCTTGAAGTCACTAACTTCTAGTCTGAGCCATGTTGTTAGATGCAGACTACTTGGTTGGGGTCCGCGTGACTATCGTAACCAATGGTTGGAGACTCTTGGTGACATGGCTCAGAATCGATCACAATGGCGTCGGTGTATACACTCCCTATCTTCCCCTAAACTAAGAGATTAAAATCACTTCAAATCTTTCTTTCTACGAACCAATTCTTTCTTCTTGTACTATATCTCTATATGCAATCTTCTCTTATATATTACCACCTTTAACCTAACCACTCCTATGAATCCGGTGTTCATCTTGCTGTGCTAATGAGGTATGGCAACCTGGACCGATGTACATATGTGCCTGGTCCTACGTTGTAGCTGACTGACTGACATACTCAAGATTGAAGTCGTATATTATTCTAAATAGATGCTTTGCGAATCACTATCGATGGTTCTCTGTGAGACTCATCTATGGAATCTAAACTGCAGTCATTAGATGTCTAGTTATACAGCGTATGTATTAACTTGCCTCGGTACTTCCTAATTCTTATGATTTGATCCGACGGTTTTACCACAGGCTCTACTTCTAATTCTCAGTGAGGATATATATAAAGTATTACATGATCTCATTGAGTTTTATGGCATTGTCACATTCTGTTTGCCTTTGAACTTAGTCATTGTATTAGAGTACAATTACAGGTAAGAATCTATCACAAATATGATACATTTTTATGTAGTAGTGGAACTGCCTGTCTGCTTAATGACTTCTTAGATAAGCTACATGGAGTTACACCGTACATCATCGTAATTGTGTAACTATCTTCTCTAGAGTTTTGTCATCAGATGATTGTATGCACTTAGGGTGCATCCTTATCTTAATACTGTATAATTTGTATCGTTAAAATCATCTAAGGTTCCGCCAGTAAAACTATTCATAATTAAAAACGAGGTGAAATGGATTGGATTTTGGTAGAATTATGACGTAAGCAACACATGAAACAAATGTGTTTAGTAGTAGTCGGCTACACTTCCCTATTCAAATGAATGATTTAATTACTACGATAATTGTACAATTCTGTACTATTTTCTGGCTTCAATTCTCCTACAATTAGCAAGAGAAACACTGAAAAATAAATTTGTCATTGCTTTCGTTGGGTGGAAAATGTCGCACCTATGTGCCTCATCGAAAATCAGCCACTAAGATTGTGATTTTTAGGAGCTCAAGTATGTTTTTGCGCGTATTTTTTAATGTTAATGATGATTTATCCAAAAATCCACTTTTCATTTGATCCTGGAGTTGTTTCTCACAGGAAAACCTATCTGCATTTCATAAATTATCCTAACAAAAAAATTGATTAATTTTTGATTTTAACTTTATTCTTCTGGATATTGCTGTTCAGAAGTAAATGTGGTTCTGAAAATTCTAGTTCCTAATGGTCAAACGAAATATATACAAGAGTTGAACCAACTTAATGAAATCAGATTTCAGTCAAACTAATTTAAAAGCAAATGTATAGTGACATTAATCAATATTATTGCAATATGAAATTGAGTAACAAATAAACTGGAAAATAAATTATTTGTTTAGGCTATAAATGATTGAACACAGGAATGTAATAAAATATTCGGAATTTAAGCCCAAGTGCATATTTTCTTCTTACTATCACAATCATAAGTAACATCATGTGACAACAACTAGTTATATACCCGTTAATATGAAGGTCTCAAAGCATGTACATGGAAAAAACAAGTGTAAGGTTTATTATCTTCATCTTCTTCACAATTTCAAACTAAATGTTTCTTGTGTATTCAGTGGTCACTTACCTGACGTTCAAAAATCATTCAAATTAATCAGTGAACAAGTAAGTCCAAACTCAACTTTGTTAAAAGTATCTTTATCACAAGATATAAACCTGATTTATACATTAAAAGGAATACTGTGAGTCTTGTATTACCCTAGTGATCTTAATTTTAGTGTCCAGTTGCTTAAAATTTTGATCTATATCTTCATGTATATGATTTAATTGGAAGTCGTTTTTCATTTAAACTACTATTTGCTCGTTTATCTTTATCGGTCAGTTTAATCTTTCATTTAGAACTACTCAGTATATGACACAAATTTCTCGTGTCCGAAAACTTATGTGCATAAATAATCGAATTCGTCAAAACAGACGATTAAGTTATCACTTCCATTCACTCTGTCTAACTGATGGTTTATGTTTTTTTAAGTGATGGTGACCTAACCTGTTGTATGTTCTGGTAAGGGCAATGAGACATTGCACCAGACTGTTTTTGCGTGCTATTTTTAAATAGAGTTGTATGCTATTTGTGTGTATCTCCCCTCGTCAAATAAAGTTAAGCTGTTCGACTTTCAGGCACCAATTTCTAGGTTGGAACCCCGCTACACCTACTTCAGATTCGGCAGCCGAGCAGTATAATTAGCCCCCACATAAATAGTGTGGCTTATGCGCAAGTAGCTAGTAAATGGGTGAATTTAGTTATTTATGCTCAAGTGGTAGTAATATGGTTGTTTTAATACCATGCATTAATTTCGTTTCAACGTCTTAACTTTTTTCTTATGATTATTATTGTTGTCATTAATAAATGAGGGAAACACCAAAAAACACATTAAAATATGAATATCAATGTTGTTATAAGCGAAGGCTCATCATATATATATATCCTAAATAAAACCTCATAATATCTTATAATAAAGCGTTTAAGAACAACCACTCTACGTTATGTATTATAATTGAAAGTAAAAATTTTAGGTAAAATAATGATCGTAATGAAAATAATATGGAAAAATTACTTTTTCTTCTCATTGTTTCTTTTTGTGACATACTAAAAGTAAAATTGTTCTACTTTTTAATATCAGTGTTCTTTGACAAGGAAGATAATGGTTTTCTAATAAGATTAGGTGATGCATTCGCACTTGTTGAACTTGCATACTTTGTTTTGGTATTCGTTAAATTATTTGTCTGTCCAAAATTCGGTCCAGTCATTGTAGGTGACCTTTGTGAACCACTTATGTTTTGTTTAACTGTTGGTTTTTGTAATAGTTTAGGGCTTGGCGGTAAAGAGTTGTTCTTCTGGATTGTGGTGTTCGTATAAGACGACGGTTTCAAACGCGAATGAACTTTTATACTTTCTAGTGACTTTTGAATGGAGAGTGGTGAATTGATTGCTGAAGAAGCACGAGATGTAATTCCTTCATTTGTCGGTGAAGTAACAGTTTTCGAAAAATCCTCAGACAAAATCGAATTACCATTTGACGATATATTTTCGGAATATCCTGCATCAACAAGAACAGTGGATGTAGAATCAGATACCGATATAGCCACATTAGGTAAAACAGCCACATTATTTTCGTTAGCTAGAATGTCGGGAAGACCAACGTACGAGTTATTAGTATCAGGAAATAAACTGTTTACAATGTCTGAGTTAGTTACTAACAATGGAGATATGTGACTCGGAACAATTGTCGACTCGGAGTTCGGTGCACTGTTCACTTCATTGATTTCGTCGTTGAGATCAGTGGGATTTGTGCTGTCAGGAGAGGTGTTGAGTTGGTCGTTTAGATGCTCTGTGTCAATGTGGTCAGTCAGATTATCTGATGTTTGTGACAACTCGACAACAGGTGGTTGATCAGTTATTGGATCTAAGTGTGCCTTCGACGCACTCATACAGGCGACCAAAGGAACGTCGAATTTTTGTGCACTGTCCAGTTCATCAATTTTTTCTGTGAGTTCAGTGGGAGTTTTGTTTTGATTTTGGAGGTCCTGATGACTAGTCTCAGGTAGTTCGTGATCCTCGTCAGAACGACCTTCAGTGATCGTGTCACTGCGAATTGTAGTGATACTGGTTTCCGAGGTGTGTCCTAACATTGGAGATATGTGACTCGGAACAATTGTCGACTCGGAGTTCGGTGCACTGTTCACTTCATTGATTTCGTCGTTGAGACCAGTGGGATTTGTGTTGTCAGGAGAGGTGTTGAGTTGGTCGTTTAGATGCTCTGTGTCAATGTGGTCAGTCAGATTATCTGATGTTTGTGACAACTCGACAACAGGTGGTTGATCAGTTATTGGATCTAAGTGTGCCTTCGACGCACTCATACAGGCGACCAAAGGAACGTCGAATTTTTGTGCACTGTCCAGTTCATCAATTTTTTCTGTGAGTTCAGTGGGAGTTTTGTTTTGATTTTGGAGGTCCTGATGACTAGTCTCAGGTAGTTCGTGATCCTCGTCAGAACGACCTTCAGTGATCGTGTCACTGCGAATTGTAGTGATACTGGTTTCCGAGGTGTGTCCTAACATTGGAGATATGTGACTCGGAACAATTGTCGACTCGGAGTTCGGTGCACTGTTCACTTCATTGATTTCGTCGTTGAGACCAGTGGGATTTGTGTTGTCAGGAGAGGTGTTGAGTTGGTCGTTTAGATGCTCTGTGTCAATGTGGTCAGTCAGATTATCTGATGTTTGTGACAACTCGACAACAGGTGGTTGATCAGTTATTGGATCTAAGTGTGCCTTCGACGCACTCATACAGGCGACCAAAGGAACGTCGAATTTTTGTGCACTGTCCAGTTCATCAATTTTTTCTGTGAGTTCAGTGGGAGTTTTGTTTTGATTTTGGAGGTCCTGATGACTAGTCTCAGGTAGTTCGTGATCCTCGTCAGAACGACCTTCAGTGATCGTGTCACTGCGAATTGTAGTGATACTGGTTTCCGAGGTGTGTCCTAACATTGGAGATATGTGACTCGGAACAATTGTCGACTCGGAGTTCGGTGCACTGTTCACTTCATTGATTTCGTCGTTGAGATCAGTGGGATTTGTGCTGTCAGGAGAGGTGTTGAGTTGGTCGTTTAGATGCTCTGTGTCAATGTGGTCAGTCAGATTATCTGATGTTTGTGACAACTCGACAACAGGTGGTTGATCAGTTATTGGATCTAAGTGTGCCTTCGACGCACTCATACAGGCGACCAAAGGAACGTCGAATTTTTGTGCACTGTCCAGTTCATCAATTTTTTCTGTGAGTTCAGTGGGAGTTTTGTTTTGATTTTGGAGGTCCTGATGACTAGTCTCAGGTAGTTCGTGATCCTCGTCAGAACGACCTTCAGTGATCGTGTCACTGCGAATTGTAGTGATACTGGTTTCCGAGGTGTGTCCTAACATTGGAGATATGTGACTCGGAACAATTGTCGACTCGGAGTTCGGTGCACTGTTCACTTCATTGATTTCGTCGTTGAGACCAGTGGGATTTGTGTTGTCAGGAGAGGTGTTGAGTTGGTCGTTTAGATGCTCTGTGTCAATGTGGTCAGTCAGATTATCTGATGTTTGTGACAACTCGACAACAGGTGGTTGATCAGTTATTGGATCTAAGTGTGCCTTCGACGCACTCATACAGGCGACCAAAGGAACGTCGAATTTTTGTGCACTGTCCAGTTCATCAATTTTTTCTGTGAGTTCAGTGGGAGTTTTGTTTTGATTTTGGAGGTCCTGATGACTAGTCTCAGGTAGTTCGTGATCCTCGTCAGAACGACCTTCAGTGATCGTGTCACTGCGAATTGTAGTGATACTGGTTTCCGAGGTGTGTCCTAACATTGGAGATATGTGACTCGGAACAATTGTCGACTCGGAGTTCGGTGCACTGTTCACTTCATTGATTTCGTCGTTGAGATCAGTGGGATTTGTGTTGTCAGGAGAGGTGTTGAGTTGGTCGTTTAGATGCTCTGTGTCAATGTGGTCAGTCAGATTATCTGATGTTTGTGACAACTCGACAACAGGTGGTTGATCAGTTATTGGATCTAAGTGTGCCTTCGACGCACTCATACAGGCGACCAAAGGAACGTCGAATTTTTGTGCACTGTCCAGTTCATCAATTTTTTCTGTGAGTTCAGTGGGAGTTTTGTTTTGATTTTGGAGGTCCTGATGACTAGTCTCAGGTAGTTCGTGATCCTCGTCAGAACGACCTTCAGTGATCGTGTCACTGCGAATTGTAGTGATACTGGTTTCCGAGGTGTGTCCTAACATTGGAGATATGTGACTCGGAACAATTGTCGACTCGGAGTTCGGTGCACTGTTCACTTCATTGATTTCGTCGTTGAGACCAGTGGGATTTGTGTTGTCAGGAGAGGTGTTGAGTTGGTCGTTTAGATGCTCTGTGTCAATGTGGTCAGTCAGATTATCTGATGTTTGTGACAACTCGACAACAGGTGGTTGATCAGTTATTGGATCTAAGTGTGCCTTCGACGCACTCATACAGGCGACCAAAGGAACGTCGAATTTTTGTGCACTGTCCAGTTCATCAATTTTTTCTGTGAGTTCAGTGGGAGTTTTGTTTTGATTTTGGAGGTCCTGATGACTAGTCTCAGGTAGTTCGTGATCCTCGTCAGAACGACCTTCAGTGATCGTGTCACTGCGAATTGTAGTGATACTGGTTTCCGAGGTGTGTCCTAACATTGGAGATATGTGACTCGGAACAATTGTCGACTCGGAGTTCGGTGCACTGTTCACTTCATTGAATTCGTCGTTGAGATCAGTGGGATTTGTGTTGTCAGGAGAGGTGTTGAGTTGGTCGTTTAGATGCTCTGTGTCAATGTGGTCAGTCAGATTATCTGATGTTTGTGACAACTCGACAACAGGTGGTTGATCAGTTATTGGATCTAAGTGTGCCTTCGACGCACTCATACAGGCGACCAAAGGAACGTCGAATTTTTGTGCACTGTCCAGTTCATCAATTTTTTCTGTGAGTTCAGTGGGAGTTTTGTTTTGATTTTGGAGGTCCTGATGACTAGTCTCAGGTAGTTCGTGATCCTCGTCAGAACGACCTTCAGTGATCGTGTCACTGCGAATTGTAGTGATACTGGTTTCCGAGGTGTGTCCTAACATTGGAGATATGTGACTCGGAACAATTGTCGACTCGGAGTTCGGTGCACTGTTCACTTCATTGATTTCGTCGTTGAGACCAGTGGGATTTGTGTTGTCAGGAGAGGTGTTGAGTTGGTCGTTTAGATGCTCTGTGTCAATGTGGTCAGTCAGATTATCTGATGTTTGTGACAACTCGACAACAGGTGGTTGATCAGTTATTGGATCTAAGTGTGCCTTCGACGCACTCATACAGGCGACCAAAGGAACGTCGAATTTTTGTGCACTGTCCAGTTCATCAATTTTTTCTGTGAGTTCAGTGGGAGTTTTGTTTTGATTTTGGAGGTCCTGATGACTAGTCTCAGGTAGTTCGTGATCCTCGTCAGAACGACCTTCAGTGATCGTGTCACTGCGAATTGTAGTGATACTGGTTTCCGAGGTGTGTCCTAACATTGGAGATATGTGACTCGGAACAATTGTCGACTCGGAGTTCGGTGCACTGTTCACTTCATTGATTTCGTCGTTGAGATCAGTGGGATTTGTGTTGTCAGGAGAGGTGTTGAGTTGGTCGTTTAGATGCTCTGTGTCAATGTGGTCAGTCAGATTATCTGATGTTTGTGACAACTCGACAACAGGTGGTTGATCAGTTATTGGATCTAAGTGTGCCTTCGACGCACTCATACAGGCGACCAAAGGAACGTCGAATTTTTGTGCACTGTCCAGTTCATCAATTTTTTCTGTGAGTTCAGTGGGAGTTTTGTTTTGATTTTGGTGGTCATGATGAATTGTCTCTTTTAACTCGGTTTTTGTATTTTCTGTTTTTGGCGGTATATTTTCTCTGTGACTTAATATATTTTTCGAATCTTCGCGTTCATTTTTTCCTTCCATTATTTTTGTTTGTTTTCTTTTTGTTATCTCCTCTTGTTGCTTCTTTTGATCTTCGTCTTTTTCTTGTTTTCCTGATGCATTATTTGTTGTCTCGTCTCTCTGGTTCTCCACTTTTTCATGTATAATCCCAGTGTATTCGTTTTGTTTGGTAATGTCTTTAAGATCTGTTTCCACTTTCGCGTACTCTGTGTGTTTTTCTGTTATCCCAATAGTGAAAAGTTTTTCCCCATCTTCATCTATGCTGTTCCTTGAACATTTTACACTTGTATCCATGTTGTCTTGTTGTTTGTCTCTTTGATCTACAAATTGTAAAATTTTTAGTTATTAAATGATATCCATATTCGAACCCTACAATAACTAATCATTTGAGTTCATTTAATAATTATGTTCATTTTTTTAGAGCATTTTGTGTGTATTCTGTGTGAAATGGTTGATTCTAGGATTTTTTTCTGCTCTTCGAACAGATATTTTAAATGACGTCTTAACTTATTCAACTGTTTGCAATGATTAACTGAGTTGATTATACAGTTTTGTATTATTTGTAAGGTGATGTTTATTATGAATTAAACCGGTATTTTTTGGTTTCTCAAAATTCCATAACAAGTATACGTTTCGAATAAACATTTAACCTAAGAATAAGGTATTTTTTAAACTTAAAGTTTGGAGTATTTCTTTAGATACTTTTGTCCTTGAAAAATCTGTGAAGGCGAATAAAGAACACTCATAACGTAGTTCAATTCATTAAGAACCTTTATCACTTATAACTAATTATGTTCGATCTAATTCACTTGGATATTTTTATGCAGTAAGCTATCAATAGTGTGAACATACAGTTAAGAAGTACTACTGAGATGGCAATATTAACTATATCTGGTAATCATTTGGATTTTTTTCATCCAGTTCAAATCTATGGTAGCACTACTGTACCTGTAATATTCAGTTCAAATTTCATGCATTAATGTTAACCAAGATTATATGCAATCCAATAGGTGCTTAGCACCCATCACCCGTTTTTTGTTACTTTTCTGATGTTTCCGTCAATTTCACGTAGAAAAGTTTCTACACTGTATAGATATATATATCAGAATATCCAATTTCCATAGCCATCTTTTTTCATCAGCAAACAAACCATGAGGCTTTCTTTAAGCAAAGATGGATGATGGCTAGTATTATGATCCAGGACACGCGTTTCATCCTATTTTGGACGCGTCAGCTGGATGTATCAGGATCCCACAGTTAACGTTCATTCCGGAACTTGAACCCAGTACCGTTTGCTTCAAACTCCATCACATTATTCACTTAGTTACTAAGTCTAGATAGCCACAAGCCTGTGCAAAGACTGACTAATCACAGCCTAAAACACTAGTGGGAAGATCCAAGCAACCAATGTATTCGAAGTTGTGTGCAAACATATATTTGTACATCAGTATTCAAAAATTCTTTAATTTGATGTATAGCGACTTAAATTCTTAAATGAGAAGCATTTTACATTCTGTAGTTCATTTATTGAATAGGTTTTAATAAAGCATTAGTCTGTTGACCAGTTATTCTCAATGTTAGAACTCATTTAATAGCTTTTACAGAAACAATATAATAGTTTAATGTATATGGACAACATTGTTAGTTGTGTGTACTAAATTCATTGTTACTTCAGCTTACCTGATGATAGTGATGTACGTTGAAGCTGAGGCTCAGTAGACGTTTCTCCAGTAGTGTTATTTACAACTGGTCGCTTTTTAAGCAGATTTGAAAAGAAATCAGCTAGTACGCCGTCTGAAGTTCCTTGTATAGAAGGAGTGCTAGTTAAATTATTTGTTGGACCTACTGGAGAAATCTGTTCAGAAAATGTTGAAAATGGATGAAATGTTAGATAATCAGTATACATCAATCTTAAAGTTAATATAAACTCTTTGTAAACTGTTGCACATATTTAATTCTAAATTTCTGTTATTAAGAGACATCGAAAATCTTTTGAAAAATTTCACAACAGTCGAGAATCATCCTTAATAAGTTTGATAAATCAACACACTTCATAACCTGATATATTCAGGTTCCTTCCTAATATGATTGATCGAATCCATGGATTATTTTTGATTTTGGCATCTTTTCCAGATGATTTCAGGAACTTGTAGTAATTTTTCAACCATATCTCCGCCTTTGATTTTGTTCATACTTCTAAATTTGTAGTATCAAGAGTCTAAAAGTCTGCATAAAGTCAGTAAAGAAATTTCTGTGTTTTAAATACTATCGCTACTGAGCTTATAGGCTTACAGTATTCTAAAAAAAACATATTTTACTTGGTATTATTTGTTAAATATTGTTCATAATTCATGGAAATACGAAATCAGATTTCTGTAGCTATACACACCCTACTGAACCAAATAACCAGTAATCAAATTGTATTTAGCAGTTTAAAAATCCCCATAGAATATTCATTTTTGAATATTCATTTTTGAAATTGTATTTATACAACACCGTACTATTCATGTATCTCTCGCTTCATTATTAATCAACTTACTTTTGTACGAAATACAGGGATTGGACTGACCGGTAGACGACTGTTATCATCCATGGTTTTTGCACCTGATCCAATTTTAAAACTATTTGTAGGCTGTTTTGAATTGGACGGTAAACCCCCAGAACCTAATAATTCTTTTAGCATGTTAGGATCTATGTTCTCATTTTCTTTGATTGTTGAAAGTCGAAGGAGAAAAGCCTACAATAATCAATAACATGTAATAAAACCCCATCAAATTATACTTCGTATTTAAAAAAACTTGAAACAATTTTCTAAAATAATTATTGATTGGCTAATAATCACCCATGATAATTTTTTGGAAAAGTCGAATGGCAAAAATATCTAGTTTTATTCCATTACAGAAAATTAAAGTTATGTAATAAATTACAATGTATGTTCTTTTACGCCATAGATTGTAAAGCTTCACATAAATTACTGGCAATCAGAAGGATAGCTTCATACTCAAAATTTATGAATTGAGAATTGTAAATTGTATAAGTGACAGAATGGTGATTACTTTTTCATCAAACTAGTTTGACGTTAATATCAGACAATATTATGTACCTGTTGTTACTGAAGCCTTTCTTTTGTAGATACTGTTTGAAAAACATTGGATTTTGCATTACAGATTAAGTGAATACGAAAAAAAATCTTTTTGAGCTTCTTGCTTCTCGAAAATTTCCAATTGCTTGAATGTTTATTAGTTTGTTTTGATATTGTGGTGTGTGCTACTTATATTGACATAAGTAGTATATGATGTTAGTCGTGAACAGGTCTGGCAGCAGAGAGACAAGAGGATTGAACAGTAAAGAATGGAAACAAAATGCAATTTGTATGAAAATGCAAGAACAATGAAGTCTGAGTCATTTTGATACAATTGGTGGACATTTTGCAAATTAAGCATTTACTTTATGATTGTTAGATTTTATTAACAAGTCCTGTAATTGTGTGTTAAATACATTCGATTGTCCTCACCCGTGTTCTTGTTCACTACAATAGCACTATTACTGAAAAAAATAATCTGGTTGCAAAATAAGCCGTGTCATATCTTAGTAGGATTAATGATTTACTTTATGCACATAAATAAACAATAAACCAATTATTTAAACTTATTATTAACCACGTTGTAATAAACAATATTTATGCTGAATATAACAAAAAAAGTTTTATATTTTTGATAAAATAATTAAATAGCAATAGAAAATTTCACATAGATTCTTCAATTGAACACACTTATAATTGAGGTGAATTTGTAATCATGTGTTTGTTTTTCATGTAAGGTTTAAGATTCTCACAAATTATTATTAACAATATATGTATTATTCTGAAATCTTGGTTTTATAGTATTATTATACTCCATAGCTACAGGTTTTTTGTTATATTAGGTAAAAAAAACAATATTCCTTGAGACTTATTATATACAAATGCTTGTAACACTGTATATATATATTAGATGGTGGTTGGAGGGAGTCAACAGAAAAACCCAGACCCGGGTTTCGTGCTACTTGGCACTCGTCAGCAAGGTGAACCTGTAATCTTGAGGGAACTAGTGCTCCCCGAAGGATTCCATCCCGTGGTCGATAGCGTTTGATCTGCACTAAGAAGGACTTGACACATATGACATTGATCACCACTCAGTAATCAATCAATTGTGACAATATATGTATTCTGTGTATCTCAGTGAACTACTTATGGTGATGGTAGTTTTCAATATGAACTGATATCATCTAAAAAATCATTATGAACCAAAAAGCACTGTACAGATATTTTGTCTTAGTTAAGGGCTCGTCAGCCCTGCTTTATTATTTGGTTGTGTAGATTGTTAAAATTAGTGTAATGGGAGAATGCTTTCGCTTACGGATTTGTATTAGGTGCACACTACTGATTCGTAAATTAAAAACAAATACCTTCTTAGGAAAATAATTCAGAACTCAGGAAACGTTTCCTAAATAATCTTTTTTCATTTTTTTGTCATGAAAATGGTAACTTCATCGTTTATTCACGATAGCTATTTTAATATTTAAAAACGTTTTCTTTATTTTACATATTTTAAAGATTTTGCCTTATTTAGGTTGGACACTCCAGTCGATAAGGCTATCCAGTGTAATGGACAAAAAAATTAGTAACAATTCTTCTGAGTTGCAACTTTTCCCCATCATTGCATTTTATAGACTCATTAAGTGGTATACTCTAGTTGCAACAAGATTATCGCTAAACGTAATAAGTAGTAATAGGCTTCCCATAAAAAGTGGTGATTTCTTTAGTCATGACGACTTAATTTAAATGAAGATACTAATGTGAATCTAAAATTAGATCTATTTGAAAGTAATATATAGATAAATCGCTTATATCAATCATTAGCTTTCACTAAGCAAACTTATTTAAAATGCTGAACACACATTGTGCTCATACACTACTGGGATTCAGTCCTAAGGAATTTTTGAATCTGTCTAGTTAAATCTCCAATTATTACTATGTGTAGTAGTACTATGTAGGTCAAATGCCAGAAGCCCTATTACCGCTAATACTATCTTCATAACTGAGTCACTATCTAGACGAGAAAAGGTGGGACTAGGTAACCTCGTCTGAGACAGATTATCACTTGAAATGGAGTTGTGAACTGCCCTTCAGGCACGACTTTGTAGTCCAGTCCTTTGTAAGAGTCTATATAATGGTGACAATCTTTTCAGATAAACGATAGTGTCTAAAGAAGTTCCACAAAGTTTGTTTATTGGCTCTATCGAATGCTTTGTCATAATCAAGAAAGTTGTTGTATTGTGATGAGTTTTATACGACTGATTAGACAACGATGATCCTTAGTGTATCAGTTTGTTCGGTATATGATCGGTCTTTGCGAAAGCCGGCTTTATTAATCTCAAAGTTGAAGGTCTTCTGAATATCTCATTTGGTTCAGGAAAATTTTGTCGAAAAAAGGCTAGTATTGAAAATAGTATGATTTCACTGTAGTTTTCAAATTTACTAAGATATGCCTTCACCCATTAACAACCCCAGAAGTGAGTCTTTTTTGTACAACTTATGGACATATATTCAACATATGTTATATGCAACGGGTATTAGGTCTTGATTTTAAAAAGTATATGACAAGTAATATGGCATACCTGTTCATCAATGGCCATTATTTCGGGTTCTCTGTGAATTGCTTTACGTGGTACTGGTCTTGGGATAACGGTAGAAAAAGGGTGTTGTGCATTGATTTTTGTTAAATTTTCACCTAGAATATTAATCTTTTTATGATTATCCCAACCTGCTGGACTGAACAAAATGTATATAGATAGGAAAAAAATCGTAAGGTTAATAATTGTATTTCTCATTAAAAAGAAAATTAAATTGAGTTCGCACTGCTTTACACATGAAACACACACATTCTTATGATAAAAGCAACCCATCTTTATACTTTAATTGTAATATCCAAGCCAAATACAAAATTTCTGGTTCGTAATTTAATGAAAATTCTATGACAGAGAGCGTTTAAAGACTATGTTTTGATGTTTCACTTTTCTCTCTGAACTAGGTATTTATTTCGGGAGCTCAGTCATTTTTCTAATCACGTTTCATCTTGTATGGAATTTATAAATATGTTAATTATTTTTATCTCTTTTAATGCAATTAAGTGATTGTAAAACTAATAAGGTAGTTTTTGATATTTCACTGTTATGCTTATACGAAAAATGTCTTTCTTTTCACCTCACATTTTTTTGCGCAGAATAAATGCAAAGAATTAATTTTCTTGTATAACCATGAACATCATTATACTCTTTTTGTCTGATTGCATATTTTCTTATATGTTTTCCATAATCTCTAGCACTGAAATCCACGACACAGATTTTGTTTTATGTAGCACTTATCATCTTTTTATAATTGGAATCTAGAATTAATGCTCTTACTGATAATATCAGTTCACCATGGATATAGTATCACAAACTGTTCATTGAAGATCTGAACATTGAAGTGGAACCCCTCCAAAATAATGTTCCATGCCTTGTTTTGTAATACTTTATACGTGAGACTTAACAGATAAATTTATTTTTAAAATTATCATAAGTTGCCTAATGAACACAGTGGCTAATTATGTAATGGCCAGTTGTTGATACGTTTAACTAAATATTAATTCTTAGATACAGGTAAATCAGGCTGACGAGTCACAAGCAGAACGAAACAAACGACCCGAATTCCATTTCTAGATACATCCCATCTATTCAAGAAAAAGTTTTGAAATACTATATATATCGAGACAATCTGCAGAATACATATATATCAACTGAGACTGATCAAAATCCAAACAGAATCTAATTGTTCCCTTAAATCTCTTCTTAGTTGCGACATACTATTGGTATGAGAAAATAAATAAGTTTTTAAAAGACTATGTATTTGGAGAATTTATGTGAAACTAGTAATGGAATCATTCTGACATTTTCACGTGTCTGCAAGCTGTGTTTCAGTTTTAAGTGTGAAACCACGTCTTCTAATGACTTTGTAAGAGATGAATCAAAGATCTTTATAAAATGTCAGTATAAAATTAATGTTGGAGTAATTTCATATAGATACGTATATTTATTTATTTATTTAAACACACAAACATTGATACAAGGCACCAAGTATGTATGCACTACACTTCATCATTCGATTTACGTTAGAGCCAGAATACTATTCGAGCGCCAAAAGCAGAAGAAGGGTGTGTATTTATACACAACAGTCATTTTCAAAAGAACTTCTTATGTATAATGTGAAATAAGTCCCACTACTCTCGTGAATTAAGTTGAACAGATCATTTTTAGAGCATTTAAACCTTTAATGCTTATGAATCAAGTGTCATTATACATTAATGTACATTTTCTATCATAAATCTCGTCCCCACTAATATACTCAAAGGTAAATACAAGAATCAGCAGAAAACTAAACGACAAGACTTGAGATCTCTGTTAAAAAACGAAATCGAACCAACAACCTTACCTTTGTTCAGTTTCTAATCCCTAATTTTTATAATCACTAGTTACCTCTTGACTTTGTTATTTCTATTCTTTCTCACCAGACAACTTTATTTCATGTATTTCATATCAGACCTCATATTTTATCATTGTTGTTGCATGCCTATCTGTGTAATATATTTGTCATTCATCACTTTGAAAGGTTTTTGCTAGACTGTTAGTGTATATTTAGATAGACTGGTTTCGGTAAGCCTTCATTACTTTAGTTTAACTTAACAGTTCCCTTTACTTCAAATTACATTTTAAATACCACACTATTTGTCGACTTGTTTTTGTGTTACTTTAGAAGTCTATCTAGTAACTGGTACTACATTCTTCCAATAAACAATATAAATTTGACGGAATACTAGTGTCAACAGTAAATAAGTTCCATGAATTTTGTTGATAAAGTTACAAACAGTAGTAGTATGACAGAACTAATAAAAAGACTATATATATATATATATATATATATATATATATATATATATATATATATATATATATATATATATATATATATATATATATATATATATATATATATATATATATATTTCCTGTATTATTTAACTACATATATTATCATAGGATTAGAGATTGATGAGAATACGTTCTTTAATGGCTTCAATCGCGAATCGAATCACCTGATTCCACATAATTTGATAGCAGACAACAGATTTCTTATGTATAAAACAAGTTACAAGACTAATACTAACATATAATTATAATTCCTCAAGCAACATTTTCACTAACCGTTCACAGTTTAAAATCTCTGACATTGAATAATTAATAATCTATTAACGTTTGAGTTTCTAATCTATGATATAAGTAGAAGAGGATAAGGTAATACCGTTAATGAGCGAGCTTTGCGAAATCTTTGTCAATGCATATTGCTATATAACACCGATATTGACAGCAGATTATATGATAAAAAACATTATAGTTTATTATCTGTGCATCTGAAGAACTGGGTGACCCTTATGAATTCATCATTTGAAGTGTATTGTACAAAAGTTTGCAACACTAGCTAGTGGAGGCAAATTACCACTAACAATTCTCAAACATGTAACTAACGAGTCTCTTAGACCATGGACTGGATATAATAAGCAATTTCAGATCTTAAACAAACAAATATCACTTCACAACAATGGACATATATCTATATTTTGCTATCTTATTATTATTAATTTTACTTGTTTAATCAGTGTTTAGATATCAGTTCGATATTTTGCTAATTTTATTTGCTTCTTTGATTTGAGACAGTTTAAATGATATATCTGTGTAATATGTTTTTCTTATTCAGCCTATTTTGTCTCTTTTCCTATTCAGATTTCTAAAGATGCATATTCATTGAATAAATCAAAGATCTAGTTTCTTGCCAAGATAAACCACTATTTACAAAATGTGAGATCATAATATTCATTAAAAACACTACCATCATTGTAAATTGTAGCTAGTTTTAAAGGGTACTTCGGAAATTATCAATCATTTATAGGTATTCTTTCATCCCTTAGAGGCCTCAGCTGGTAGTTTTTAAGACTACTTTACTGCCATATGGAAACCAAAGTGGCAGCAGTTGTGAATATGAGCACAGAATGAGGGCTAGCTTAAAATAATCGCGACAAATTTTTAATCTGTTCTTGGCTAATCAGTTAAACCTTTTAAAACTGAATAGTCTGTGGAAAAGAAAACAATAGCACTACTAAGGGTTAACAGATTTTACATAAATAAAAACGGTTTGGAGCCATGTCATTCAAGTCTATAACCACTGGTTACGATAATCACGCAGACCCCAATCAGGTAGTCTGCACCTACTGATATGGCTCAATCCAACAGTCCCTGACTTAGTGGACTAATATCGCGTTTTTTGTTTAGTCTGTCTAGCTTCCTTCCAGCTTATTTCTACATTGGCCGTCCATATGGATACAGAACATCAGTCTCCTCAAACCATTATCAGAAGGCAAAAGGCCTATTATTAGTCCATAGATTTTCTCGGGATTTTTCTTGACTTTGATCGTCCAGTCTCTGAACTTCACATTTATCTTGACATTTTTATATTTCCGCTTACGCCAATAACATTAATTTCAATACTCAGCTAGAGTAAATGCTAACGTCAACTTATTCAGGCAAAACATTTTCCATCCTCAACCACTAATCAAATCGTTAGAAACCCAAACCAGTACCATATTCATATTAATGAACTTAAAACTAGAGTGATTATATGCAATACAAATACAGAACGTATCGTAAATAACAAATCACATTGTGCACATTATGAGGATATTTTGGAATGAATTCTGAGCAATAGATTTCTAACTAATCTATGATAAATTATGTATGAAAAAAGAAACGATAACAATGAATAGTCTAAATAGAATTAATATAATATCATGAATCATTTCGTTAATGATTAACCAGAAAATAGCATCCGATTTTCTTATGTTCATATATTCTCTCATTTATTACAAAAATATCTTTTAGAAGTTCACAAAGGATAAATACATTCGATAGTCACTTACATGAAAATACAATCTCCTTCTACTATATACGCACTTTGACTAAAAGGAAACCCATAAATACGATGCCGAATATAACGATTTAGTAAATCACAGTTTTTATCTTCTTTCACTGACACATAAAATAATGCTGCTCCATCTACAAGATTTTTATAGGATAATATGTGATTGTATGTCTCGAATAGCGATAGTTTGATGAAAAATAAATATTTTCGTATTGTACTAAATGAAATTTTAAGGAAAACTCATTTTCAGCTTATACATACTCATTAAGGTTTACTTGTATGTTTAGTGGACTGTGATATGAGGAACTATCAACATTAAAGTTGAAAAATTGCCACAGATTTTTGAGAGCATGACTCCACAAATGTTCCAACTTTGAGTATTTAGCACCTCGATTCCAGTTCATTTGTAAACAACTTAATCTAAATTAAATCCTTGTTAGTCATTTCAAGAGAATGAGTTAAAAGCAATATTTACTTATGATCAACTGGAATCTTAAGAGTTTTTATGCAATGTTATAGATTTAAATTGATTTCATTCGAGTAACACCGTATAAAACGGAAATACTAGGTTCATTATCCTAAAAGCAAATAGCTTTGTTAGTGGGATGTAGATTAGATCGAAGAATGCTCCATCCAGAATTGTGATGGAGCATGCTGATTGACTATTCGTAACCAATCAAAGCTAGCGGATACTTGGGGAAGACTCTTGAATGTTATGTAAAAATTATAAATATACTAACGTTCTTCTTATTGCGATTCCTACCTCCATCCAACCTTGTTATTCGAAGTACAATTACATTTCTGTTCAACTGTGTTCTGATTCGAGAACTTGTTTAGTGGAGTACTGCCCAAGAGTACTAAGCAATAAGAGTAGCTGGGTTATAATAAGAGAATTTCTGTTTTGAAAGGTTAGTTCTTAAGATTCATTCTATCCACATAAAAAGTAACATTTAGTTTTTTACACTACTAGATTTTTCTATAAATTTAAATAGAGCAATAAAACGAGGTTTTCAAACCCTGTTCTGTTTAATTATTTCAGTTTGTTAATTTCTACTGGTTTGCTAATCAGAAAAAGAACGTTTTATTGCAGTTCATCTCTCAGCCATCGTCTGATTATTACAATCAAAACTAATAATAACTTGATCTTTTACTCTATCAGTAACCAGTCCGAGATGATTGAGTTGATCAATCACTCGACTTTGATTGCATACCGTTTCCCTAGCAATAATTAATATTACTAATGACTGTATTACTAATTCATCAAGATGTTACATAATTCAAAGTTAATATAATCATTTGGTTTGAATACTAATAAGTGGCAAAAAGTGAAACTTATCAGTTGTTAAGGAAGAAAACAAAACAACTCACATGAAAGACAAAATCGTCGTATATGCATTTGTATAAAATCAAAATGTTCTTCTGTAAATTGATTTTCTTTGATCATTATCTTCATTAAGTCCGTCTGTTTTAGTTTCAGGATAAAACATTGCAAAGCGAAAAAAATCATTATATACTATTTCATTTGCACTCATTAAATCTCTCATTATTATATTTATAAGTATTGAATAGAGTAAAATTTCCATAGAGTACAGTTTCTAACCATTAATGATCTGTATAATGTAGGAAATTGTAAACTAATAGTTGACTTCACTATATTCAAGTTTAATCAGTAGTTAGTAGTACATGTTAAAACGAATATTGTGGTTGTAAATAATTTAACCATATATTTGGTTTTAAATATGAAATATACTACTATTCTTAAAAAAAATTATTTTTCTGTTTATCCATATCTTCATTTATTTGAGATTTTATTATGATGATGATGATAACCTTAATGTCTTGATTTGATCTCTTTTTTTATACGTACACCGTTACTTTAAACTAAATCACTCAATTAGCACAACAATCATTTTAGTCTAGAACTAATAAGTAATAGTATTCATAAGTTCATTCGTGACTGTAAATTAAAATCCTCTAATCTTGTATTGATTGTGTTACTTTTAGATTACTTAAATGTAATGTAATCACATTAATTGATAACTACATTACTCTTGACACAATTGAGTTATATATAAATACAAACTGTAAAATCTTTTTCAAATGAAATAGAAGTAGATATTCACTATTTACTAGTTAGGATAATTCTCTAGTTAATGTTAGTACGTATCTTTAGATTGGAATGCTTTTCACAAGTCAACTAATCAAATAGTTTTTATGCAAAATTTATTTATTTATTTAATGACTTTATTCAATATTATATTTTGGTACAATATAGGATTCTCAGCACAGGGTATTTCAACGAGTTAATTACGCAAAAAAAAACAGTAACAAAGACAAAAAAGAGGGGGAAAAGGTTAAAAAAAATCTGAAAAAACTGTACAACTTTTCGAATTAGAGACATGTTAAGAATGCAGGTTATTGACTAGGTTAACTTTAACAACCTGTTCGTCACAGAGTATATTTTGCTAGGTAAGGTATTATAGAACTTTTATACTTTTACTTGCGTGCATGGATTTTAATGTAATTACGTCTCATTCTACCAGAACATATACAAGGAGAAAGATAAGAGTTAGCGGGATGGTTAGTATCTGATAAAATAACATGCCAGGAGTTTGCATGACTTTAGATGTCTATCCACAACCATAATAATTATGACCTCGAAAGATTCATCACACAACTTGCTAACTACTTTCAGCACTCTCCGCAATACAGCAAAGTCTTTTCTCAAACGCCCGGGAAAGAATAATGTTGAACATTAAAGAATAATGGGTAATATGCAAGAATTGACAAATTGTAAGAGTAAATATCGAGTAATCCCAAGAATATGCAATCTCTTTATGTAGTAAGTCAGTATAAATTTAAGCTGATAGCTTAATTTTTTTTCTTTTCGATCAGTCATTAATATGTTATAATTAATAATAATTGTTTTAATTTAATGATCTGTTAATATTACTTTTGATGTTTTTGAAACATCTTTATTTCCAGTTTCATTCATATTCAATCAGGATAACATCATTATGAAACTTTATAAGATAGTGAAACTTGATTCTAAATAGATATTTGTAAATTGATAGTTTTTTTGTAAAGTTGAAATCATCATAAGTTATCCAACAAGTTTTAACCAAATACAAATTCTCTTAATTTATTCAATCGGTAGAAATCTATAAATAGTTATCAGTTTTAAATATTAAATTAATTCTTATTTATTGTATCTTCAGATAGAATTGAAACGTTTCAGAATCAAAACTTTGACTGACAAAATATTCCGAACATAAAAATCTATGGGGCTAGGTCTATATTAATCGTTACTGACTGACTGATACAGAGAGATAATAACTTCTGACGAGGTATTGAATTCTTAACTAAATGAACTGATGACATGTAGTAGTTTAACCATTCCGGAAGCTTTTCTAACCTAAGCCCATACTAGCTAGAATAATTACTCTGCTAGATTTTTGCTGACTGAGCGTATAAAACACACGTCTTGATCACCCTATATAAATGATCATTGACAGTCTAATCAATATCAAAATATCTACCTATAACTCTGTACAGAAGATCAACATTATTTATTCAGTCATTCCACCAAAGGCTAGCTAGTGTTCTTATATTAAGTATAATGAAGTATATTATTCATAGTTTTAAAACAAAACATAGTAGTCTCCTGGAGTTCACTCGCTATCTGATAGGCAGTTTGAGCTGCTAGTAGAATAATTTAACAAACCCAGGTGAGGCTTTGGTACTCTTCTTCAAAAAATAATGATTGAAAATACATGATAAACCAAGTGGTCAATGAGTTTAACTATATTACTGCTTGCGGTCGTACAAATCACTGAATAAATTAAATAGTTCTTTCATAAAGAAACAATTTCAGATTAGTGATTCACAGATCAAATGACTGATTGGTCCATCTTACAGAGAGGTATAATTAAACCATTCTGTCGTTTTACTTTAATTTATATTTTGTCAAACATTTTATCCAGTTTAAATAATCATATGATCAAGGAGCTTTACGTGCTTATAGCAAAAGAAAACATCTATTTTTAGTCAAATATGACTTCTTATTCATACAATTGTTTTCTATTGTTGACAAATGTTAACAAATTTTAATCATAGTACTATAGTTCTTCCTTGTAAGATGATAATCTTATTTTCTTGATTTTACAATACTTTGTATTAGATCAATAAATTATTTAGGTAAAATGAGAACATCATCTAGTGAACCAGAATAATAGGTGATTATCTTCGTTTTACATAATTATGTTATGACACTATGGTTTCTATTGTTTTTGGCATATTCAAAATTATAAGGAGAAAAGATCACAGTAAGATTAATTCATTAGGCTTAATGCATGCATATTCAGTACATCTTTACTAGGATTTATATTTGGTCATTACAAGTGGGATATAATATAATGATACGTAATAGGCTATTTGAATCAGAATTTTTCTTTAAAAGTCTATCTTCTTTTAACATAAAAACGATTATCTCAATCTATTAAAATTAATGGCTTCTTATTTGATGAATTATTTGTCCTCTATTCATCATCTGTAATTTAGTGAACAATTATCTCAACTTGTATTTATTAAATACAAAACACGCTACTAAACAAATAATTTTAGTATTATCAAAAATGTACTCCTAGAAGTCTTTTCTTAAGGATGCATCAGATAATTATAGAAAAGTTAATACAATTTTCGACTGTATCCACCATTGACTCAGAAAATTCTAAATTTATAGAATGGTCATCGTTCGACCTTTGCATCTACAGAATTACTCTGCCGGTTACATATCAAAACTCACACCATAGTTGAAGATTACTATTCTTTATTAGGAAAACAAGTTTTTTAATATATTATATACGAAGCCTTTAAACAGTTCTATATGTTCATAACTGACTAGGTTAGTGATCGATTTCTACATTCTCACGGGAAACTAATACCTATGGTGTTGATTAAGTCAACAATGAGATTGTAACTAGTAAATAACAGTTGATTTTGCTATACTGAGAATCAGTTGAATTTTAAAACAAGCATTTATTGATTTTAGGTCAGTAAACCAATATTACTGAACTCTCTACGAAACCTGAAGGTACTAGCTTTAATAAAATGTTGTTTCAAGAGTGTGCACTATAGAATAGTCCCAAAATAGAACAGAAGGACTGTTCAGTGTTTTATGATTCTCACCGTGTTTTTATTTTCCGTCATTTTGTGGTTAAAACTATCTCCAGTCTATGTTTCTTTTAAAGTTAAAAGAATCATAATAGTGTGCTACATTTTTAGAAAAATCAGAAGAGGTATAATTTCATTTTTATGTACATTACATGCGTGCATGTGTGAGTAGCTTCACAACACATATGTTATCTTCAATACAACTATATAATTGTATTTCTTAAAGTCAAGTAATATATCATAAAATTTCAACAAGATCTCCTTATCCGATGCTATTTTGATATTGATCGGTTATTGATATTCATTTCATTTATTTAAAGACATTTATTAGTTTATAAAGGAATAAAAGTGTCATTAACATAGTTGACAGGTAGATATTTTAGGAGAAATCCGATTTGAATTCTGTTCACTCGATTTTTATCACTAAGTAATTAATAATTTTGGAGACAATATATTGTAACTTATTTATTCTTATCTCCTTTTAACACTAATTAGTAAATTTATGTTTTCACATATAAAAATAACTTCCATCACATTCAAGAAACTTAAACAAGATTAATTCACTTGGTATTGTTTTACTTGAATCTTCCCATTGATGTTTTAGGACTGAAATTAATCAGTCTCTTATTAGTATATGTGCATACTGTACGTATGCCTCGATATTGCCTTAATTTACAAGCAAACAGGACGAAACGCGCGTCCTGGATTCCACTGCTAGCCACCATCCATCTTTGCTTATAATGTTTGTAAATTAAGGCAATATCGAGGCATACGCACAGTATGCACATATACTAATAAGAGACTGATTAATTGCAGTCCTAAAACATCAATGGGAAGATTCAAGTAAAACAATACCAAGTGAATTAAACTTCACCCCATTGCACAACTAAGTAGCTACCAGGACTCAGTAGCTAAGTGGATAACGCAATGGCGTTTGAAGCGAACGGTACTGAGTTCGAGTCCCAGAGTGGACATCAACTCTGAGATACAGGTACATCCAGCTGATGAGTCCCAAACAGGACGAAACACATGTCCTGGATTCCACTGCTAGCACCATCCATCTTTGCTTAAACAAGACTAGTTTACTATTCAAAGAAGAAATATTTCGATATATAATTATTACGGATTATTACTAACCTACTAATAAATTAACATTTCACAATATAATTTAAAATTGATTGTTTCAGACATTTTAATGAGAGATGGTGAAGAAGATTTGTAACTGAGATGGATGATTTTGATGGAATTTTGTTCTTTGAGTTGGATGGTTTATGTAGATAAATAATTATGATCTTATTAGGATTTAAAGGTATTGCATTGCTAGTTTTTTTTAAATCAAATGTTTGACAGTAGATATTTTGATGTCATTAGTTCTAAACATAAATGAAATTCATAAAATCTCATTTAATCTGTACAGAATAATTGAATTTATTTTAATCTATTGAAGTAATAATACAATTTTTTAACGTTATATTTGGTGAATGAGTCCAATTATTATGATTTTTCAAAAGAACAATGTAGAATAAACGATAACTTTTTATTTAACACTAAAAACATTGCAAAAGTGATAGGGTAATTCATCAGTGTTGGTTGTTAGCATCTTTGCGTTGATAGTGAGGACTGAGATTCATTAGTTTCTTTTTGGTTATAATCCATCCTGTGTGGGTTACCTTAGTATTATCATGAAGTCACAAGCATTGTAAGCGGAGGTGAATGGTGGTTAGAAGTGGAATCCATGACGCTCATCCTGTTCTTTATGAGACTTGTCAGCTGGATGTACCCCATTTCACAAGCCAGTGGCTATATAGAGTCATAAGCAAAACGGATAACACAATGTCATTCAAGGCAACCGGTACTGGGTTCGATTCCTAGGGTGCTTATCTACTCTGTGATGCAGGTACATCCAGCTGACGAGTCTCAAATAGGACAAAATGTTATTTCATAACGATTTCAGCTAGTGTCAAAGCGTGTGCTTACAGAATATATGTTTTGAGTGAAATTTCACCTAATAGGATTACACTGTTCGTTGACCAAAACTAATAAATGTTAATTTCTAATAATGAAATCCGATAAAAGATGATTTATTCATTTATTAACTGAGTGTTACGACTACTTACCTGTGTTTTGGAGTAAAATTCTCATAAAAAATCACAAATGTAACAAGTAATCTTTAACTGAGTGACACTAGTAGAAATATTCAAGTCGGACATGAAATATGCCATGTTTATAATTATTTTATAACTTCCACTAAATCTCGACATAGCATTATTCGTAACCCTTCATTTTAAAGTCGAATTTTTCATTTTTTTAACCGTATCATTTTTGTTTGGGTTTCCGTTGTAGTTTGGTCATATTGACCAACTTACGTTTCATACACAGTTAACTTCTGGTTGAGTTAATTTGAGGTAATGTAATTCCCACCAATACACACCCCAATCAAATTCTACGTCTGTTAACATTTATAAACTGGATGGGTGATAGTTACAACTTTAAAGAGGCAAAAATATAAGTGCCATCGAAACGAAAACTATAAAAAGGAAATAATTCTTATTTATTTATGAGTTATTTTTGAATATGATATTTTTCATCAAATCATTTACCTTTGTTACAACAACGATTAACGGTACACCAAGATTGTTATTTAATACATTATCCTCGTACATTTCTTCAGTAAACGACTCATTATCATTTAAAAATGATAACTGAGGGGTAGTTTCTTGAGATGTTGCATACATAGTAGACAGTGAAGCTAAATTTACCGGATTGATAATATCATTTGTTGATGCATCTGGCTCAGCGTAGCCATAAAATTCTTTTGAAACTGAAATATAGACGAAATAAGTTATGCTTTAATGTTACCTAAGCATCTGCTTTCATTGTAACTAGAGCCTCTCAGTGTTTTGAAATGGCCAATTGTATTTCCAAATATAATTTAGTGAAAAGTAATTCTTTAGGGTTAGTGGTAAACAGTTATTTAAATAGTCACTGAACAGACTGTTAATTGAACTCTCTAACAATTTAGTAAATCACAGAACCCTGAGCATATTGGATGTATAATTGTTCTGATCTTTTCCAGATCGAATTTACTGAGATTTCAGTTTAACAATGAAGCAGTCATACAAACCATTTAGATATTCTTTTTCGTATTACTAAGCTTAATGTAATAAATTTCTAACAACATAAAGCTTTGGAATTTTATTTCTTGATGAAGCTGTTGAACTAGACAATAGATCGTAATAACGTTTACTACTCTAGATTATGATTGTTGCTATAATACCTTGTGTAGGTGATCATAGGAACACTATAAAATTGTATCTTGTTCTCCATTTTGTGTAAATTTATTGAGGTTAGAGATCTCTTGTTTTTATTGTATTACGTACCAATTATATCTATGATATACGGTTACAAATTTCAGGAATCTACTTTTGCTGCTCGATGTTTAGATTACCTTCCGAACCTGAATTTTATGCTAAGAAAAGAGTCAACAGTTAATCTTTTTAAAAATTCTTTTAGTTCCCTTACTGAAACAGTTTGACTGTAACTGCACTAATTTTCATAATAGTTTCAAAGCCATTAATATGAATTAAAATTACATATGGCTTGTGTTTGAGCGGAAGATTCTGTACGATAACCTAGAAGCTTCATGATCATAATCTTTTCTCTTTCACATTTATTTACTTACTTACGCCTGTTACTCCTCGTGAAGGAGCATAGGCCGCTCACCAGCATTCTCCATCCAACCTTGTCCTGAGCAATCCTTCCTAGCTCCGTCCAGTTGTAATTCATCGTTTTCATATCTGCTTCTATTATCCGACGCAATGTGTTCTTTGGCCTTCCTCTTTTTCGCTTCCCTTCAGGATTCCAAGTTAGGGCTTGCCTCGTGATGCAGTTTGACGATTTGCGTAATGTATGTCCTATCCATTTCCATCGTCTTTTCCTCATTTCTTCTTCAGCTGGAAGTTGGTTTGTTCTCTCCCACAAAAGGCTGTTGCTGATGGTATCCGGCCAATGGATGTTGAGTATCTTGCGTAGACAGCTATTTATAAATACTTGTACTTTCTTGATTGTGGTTGTTGTAGTTCTCCAAGTTTCAGCTCCATACAGTAGAACTGCCTTGACGTTGGTATTGAAGATTCTCACCTTGATATTGGTTGAAAGTTGTTTTGAGTTCCATATGTTCTTTAACTGTAGGAATGCTGTCCTTGCTTTGCCCATCCTTGCCTTTACGTCTGCATCTGAACCTCCTTGTTCATCGATGATGCTTCCCAGGTATATGAAGTATTCTACATTTTCCAGAGTTTCGCCATCAAGAGTGATTGGATTGTTGTTTTCCGCTGTGAGTTTGAGGACTTTGGTTTTCCCTTTGTGTATGCTGAGGCCTACTGTCGCAGAGACTGCTGCCACACTGTCTGTCTTTGTCTGCATCTGTTCGTGTGTACGTGATAGGAGGGCTAGGTCATCTGCCGAGTCCAAATCGTCTAATTGGTTCTGAGCTGTCCATTGTATTCCGTGTTTTCCTTCAGATGTCGCGGTCTTTATAATCCAGTCGACCACCAGAAGAAAGAGGAAGGGAGAGAGTAAACAGCCTTGTCTGACTCCGGTCCTTACTTCGAATGCATCTGTCAGCTGTCCTCCATGCACGACTTTGCACTGTAGTCCGTCGTATGAGTTCCGGATAATATTGACAATCTTTTCGGGAACTCCGTAGTGTCGAAGAAGTTTCCATAATGTCCTCCTATCTACACTGTCGAATGCTTTTTCATAATCAATGAAGTTGATGTATAGTGATGAGTTCCACTCAACTGATTGTTCGACGATGATCCGTAGTGTTGCAATTTGGTCTGTGCACGACCGATCCTTACGGAATCCAGCTTGTTGATCTCGAAGTTGGGCGTCTACTGCATCTTTCATCCGGTTCAGCAACACTCTGTTGAAGATTTTCCCTGGTATTGACAGCAGTGTAATGCCTATGTAGTTTTCACATTTGGTCATATCTCCTTTCTTCGGAAACTTGACGAGGTGTCCTACTTTCCAGTCCATCGGCACTTGTTCCTCCTCCCAAATCTTTTTGAATAGAAGGTAAAGCATGCTTGTAGTTGCTTCGATGTCTGACTTCAGTGCTTCAGCTGGTATTTTGTCCGGACCCGCTGCTTTCCCGTTCTTGATTTGTCTGACGGCCATTCTGATTTCTTCCTTCGTTGGTGGGTCGACGTCTATGGGAAGATCTGTGTGTGCCGCTTCGATGTCCGTTGGATTCATTGGAGCCTGCCTATTCAGGAGTTCCTCGAAGTATTCTACCCATCTGCTCCGCTGTTGTTGAATTTCGGTGATTGGCTTGCCTTCTTTGTCTTTGATCGGCCTCTCTGGTTTACTGTATTTCCCTGCTAGTTTATTCGTTGTATCGTGAAGCTGTTTCATATTTCCTTCTCTAGCAGCTTTTTCTGCTGTCGTTGCTAGTTCTTCCAAGTATTTCTTCTTGTCCGCTCTAATGCTCCTCTTCACTTGTTTGTTTGCTTCTATGTACTCAGCTTGTGCTTGGACTTTCTCTGCTCGTGTTCGCCTGTTGTTTATTGCTGCCTTCTTGTTCTTCCTTTCTTTGATCTTGTCCAGTGTTTCTGTAGAGATCCATTTCTTATGATGGTATTTCTTGTAGGGCTTGGAACCTGTTGTTGAGAGCTATCTTGAATTCATTGAGTTTGTCAGTATCTCGAAGGAAGGCTGTATTGAACCTTTGTATGCTGTTTGTCCAGTTGTCCAGTTCTTTTTTAGCTTCAGTTTTAAATTGGCCACAACTAGGTAGTGATCTGAAGCTACGTCAGCACTTCTCCTGGTTCTCACATCTTCTATTGTCCTTCGGAATTTTTTGTTGATGCAAATATGATCTATTTGGTTCTCTGTATTGTGGTCCGGTGAGATCCATGTAGCCTTGTGTATACGCTTGTGTGGAAATATTGTGCCTCCTATGACCAATTTGTTGAATGCACGTAGATTTGCAAATCTTTCTCCATTTTCGTTTCTTTCTCCCAGTCCATGTCGTCCCATATCTTCATATCCAGTGTTGTCTATTCCGACTTTGGCATTTAGATCTCGCATCAGAATAGTTAGGTCCTTTCTTGGGCATTTCTCAATGACTGACTGCAGCCGCTCGTAGAACTGATCTTTAATGTCGTCGTTGCTATCATTTGTGGGTGCATAACATTGGATAATATTCATTAAGATCCCCTCCTTCTTTGTTTTGAATGATGCTTTGGTGATTCTGGATCCGTGAGATTCCCATCCTACAAGTGCATTTCGTGCTACTTTGGACAGCATAAGAGCGACTCCCTGAGTGTGTGGAGCATTGTCCTCTTCATGACCGGAGTATAGCAGCATCTCTCCCGTAGCTAGCCTTTTCTGTCCAGCTTGGGTTCAGTGGGTTTCGCTGATTCCCAGTACTGCTAAGTTGTATCTCCTCATTTCCATTGCTATTTGACTGGTCTTCCCGGTTTCCCACATTGTTCGAACGTTCCATGTACCTATGAAAATGTTTGCTCTGGTTGTATAGAGGGGGCATCGGCCTCGTGGCATCCGAAGGAACTCGGCTTTCACCATGAAGCGTCATAATTCTTCTAAATGAAGACCTTCTAACTCCCAGGGCAGAGTTTAACTGGTTTGGATTATTTTTTCTGGTAAGAGTTTTTTTAGCGAGTTAGTTTTCTACGGGATAGGGACGCTAACCCCATTCCCAACCCTCCTCCTTTACCCGGGCTTGGGACCGGCAGTAACCCTATAAGAGCTACAGGCGGAGTTTTTCACATTTACTTCAAGTATAAAACTCTCAGATGTCTTCTGCAATCATTCCTAATCTTAGACTTATGAATCTTAGCCGATAATTATTATTTTCAACCAACTTAGTCAAATTATAAATAGGATAAATATCAATGGCCCAGTATTCTTTCTTATAGTTATCAAGTATTTGATCATGATCATCCAAATTATTCATAAGTGAATATTAAATAGTATCTATTAGCTCCAAACAACTGACAAGTATATGATAACAATTTAAAAGAATTATTCGATCTAGACAATACTATGCTACGGAAATTTACAGACTTGTACCACAGAATTGTCTCCAAAAATTGATTTAATGCAACACAATATGTAATTGAAATAATTCCTTCTTTTACGCATTTTAAAAATGGAGAATACTGGAAAAGAATTCGAGAACGGTCTGCAAACTTTGGTTACGGAATGATGTAAAAATATATCCTAGCGTTTAGGGTCTACGTGAAGATCATGTAATCATAAAGAGCATACATATCATTGATAAAATTGTCTGAATCTAGCTAATAATGCTGTTCTATTTTCGACGAAATCTTAAAGAAACTACGTTTTTCAATTATGTTTTTATTATTCAAAGTTCTATATTGATACCATAGTCATTTTGTATCAAGTTGTAGCACGTTTTCTCATACCAAAACACCATTAGACTTTCTGAGTTATGTGCTTTGATATTTGAACGAAAGTCCAAAATAAATAAATAATCTACATCATAGTTACCGGTAAGAGTAGGATACGTACCTTGCAACCGGCTGAATTTTGGAGTATATTTTCTGTAGACCTGTACAAAATGTCGATTTATATCTGTGCAAAAATTAGCTGTGATCCCTGCGACGTTTCGTGAGTCATAATCAACGAAGAGTTTTCAGAAACAAACCTAGATAATCTTAATTAATTATCTTATCTACAATTAAATACACTCATTTATAAGATAAAACAGTGATTCTATTGGATTTTCTCCATACTTCACAAGACCTTTGGATACGAAAGTTTGTTAGTCTCGAATTTCTCTGCTGATAAATCACAAATACTTTGAACAGTCTCTGTCTCCGGTGAAGCAACAATGATAGAATAAGATAAAAATATGAAATCTTCATATACGTATCTATGGTTGACTGATTCGAAGGATGTTCACATATCTGACTGTAGTTACTCATTATTAAGCGTTTACAGCCATTTGATCTCGAAAAATATTTAAAAGTTCAGAAATTATGAGTAATACACATAATAATATAACAGTAAATTTGTATAGGTCCCCATGCACAGGTGATGAAACTTGTGGCGCGCTATTTAAAAACGATAGTGGTATTTTTCCTCGCCGAGTAATTTTTTAGTTTTAAATGTATCCTAACGTGTAAAGGCTTCTTTTATTTTTATTTTGGTTGAATTTTTACTTGCAGTAACATAAAAGTTCCAGTGTTTGTGTTATATCTATCACTTTTAGTGGTTTAAAAGCACTTGTTCTAGAAAAAAGTTGTTTTTTTCCTCACTTAAAGAGACATTTGCGTTCTTTCCGTGAGCTCACTCAACAATTCTAATTGCTCAAACAAAACGCCATTATGATAGACCCACATGTTTCTTTCCGGTAGAGAAATGAATGCAGTGTGACAATCGCAACAAGGGGTATCACAACATGCACACAAAACTCACACCGGCTGAATATAAAAGGCTTTGCAAGCCATGCTGCCCTCAAAAGTCTTGGCTGATTCTTGAGGTGATCAGGCTGCTAAACACAGCTAGAACAATTCCCTTAGATAGACAGCCATTGGCAGATAGGCAGCTGTCATATGTTGGAGAAGCGGAGAGCATCATCATCAGTCCACCTATAGGTTTGAATAAAACCACCAAGTTGGACCCCCATAAAGTAGTGGGTAACAAATACACATATGTAGCCATGGTTTCAAAGAAGAAGAGAAAATACGTTAAGAAGAAACGAATTGCAGAGAAGTCTTAAATATATGAGTTTACTACACAAACAGACCGGGAAGGAGCAAAGCCTGAACAGTGCATATGATTTGATCAGGAAACGAAATAAGGTCAATAACTTGCCAGCAGTAGCACTTGAAAAATCAAGATAAAAGAATGAGACTTGCACGTCTGATGTCGAATCGGACTGCAGGGATGAAAAGGGTTTATGAAACGAAATCTCACAGCCTATCAGAACAAATCTTGATTCCGGGCCAGTAATTTTTTATAGATTAATAGAGCCTTCCAAAAAAGGTCGAAAGCTAAATTTGAACACTATATAAATCGCATTAAGTCCCTAAAAGCAAGCTACTCTCGGAAAGAGTGGCAGGAGTTAGCATTCATAAGCTCTATAGAATAGGACAAAATGTGGGTTCCAAAGGTACACATACAAGCCGCCTCTTAATAGCTACTTTGCTTCAACTGAAGAATGAAACCTGATACCGGAAATTTCGCGCAAACTTTCTGGATCCGGAATATACGTTCATGAATATCTCAGCCTGGTTGCTCGTACTGAGTGACGATCGATAGAGGTAGAAATAAATGGATACCACCTCAACGGTAAAAATGCCTTATATTTAACATTGTTAAAGTTCAGAGCGAAACGATCGCCAAACCACTAGGAGTGGTACGAAAGAGTTTTTCACAACATCAAAGGTATTCTATATAAATGCTGGTAGTGGAGCTTAAAGATATGATGGACACAGAAAACCCCGATATGATTGCCATCTCAGAAACATGGTTAACGCTAGAAGTTCATGATAATGAAGACCAGTCGCTTGGTTACTTATTTTGTACTGCTGACAGACTAAATAGCAGGTGATGGGGTTATCCTGTACATGAAAATCATTCTAACCATACGGTCCGTAGATGCAGCGGCAAATCAATCAAAAACATATGAACTGACGTCGTGAAATGTAGAGGACAAAACATTGAAGTAACTATGGTATACCACAGTCCAAAATGTGTCATAGACGACTTCTTCCTAAGTCGACTTAAATTCTGGTCAAACATGTGTAAACGCCTTATAGAAGGTGACTTTAATGCACTTTCTGCGAATCGGGAAAACTCAAAAGTAGCGTCATTAAAAAACCCGTTTGATTACGCAATGCATTAAGCCACAGTCGCTCCGGCTTCATTTAAGTATAATAGAGATCATACCAGATACGACCTACAGAACTCCTCTTTTCTCTTGGACCTAATCCTCACATACGGTTATGTCGGTCAAATAATGTTTATTCTATGTATAGAGAGAATTAACCATGGGGTCATCTTATTAAAGTTAATGGCTGTTGTGGTCTTCAAGCAGTTGCGCTGCCCCGTCCTAACATATGTGGGGAAAACATGAAGGCAATCGACACCTCAGCCTCGGCCAAAAAATGGAAAAGTGAGTCAGATACTTCGACAGAAGAGGCATGAACTCATTCCTGGTGGTTGTACAATCAAATAACTCAACCTTTTATATCCCGCATAGTCTCAAAGAAGAAGAACCACGGCCATCCGTGGATAGATCAGAATATTCGATGTTTGCTAAGACAAATGACAAAACGTTGGAATTTCGCCATCAGCCTTGAAACAGTAAACACAATCAAATGTTACAAATCAGTCCAAAATAAATGTATAATTACAATCCGGGCTGTTTAGTAATAAAATGAATAGCATTTGCCCCAATATGTGATCAAGCAGCCGAATAAACTGTTTTCGTACAGAACACGAACCCATCACTGGCTTTGCAACCTAATTACTGATGGGAATAGACTTAAAATAATATTTAAAGGCCAGGACAATGCAGTGGTCATGACAAAATATTTTGGGATAGTTTTCACTCAGGAGCCTCTTACAAACGACGAACCAGACCAAATTACAAAGTAACAAAACCGGCTGTTTGCTGTGAATTTTAATCAAGATGAAATAGTCAAGGCCCTCAGTGCTTTAGACACGAATAAATCAACAAGATCGAATGAAATACACCCTAAAATATTGAGACGAATTGTACAATATATTGTTGCCTCGCTGACCACAACATTCAATACACCACTCAGCCAAGATGAGTCACCTACGGACTGGAAAAATACAATTATCTCTATGATACATAAAACGGATCAAGAAAAACATTTATCAAACTACAGACCTGTCATCCTTACCAGTGTCTCGGTTGTTATACTGGAAGTAGTAGTCAGAAAGGTCACAACAACATTCGTGGAAACCAAAACATTGTTAAACAGTGGACAAAATAGTTTCAGGAAAAGATTATCTTTTATATAAAACTTCTACAAGGCATTAGATATGGTGCCGAAAAACAGACTGCTCTTGAAACTCGAAGTCTAGAAATTACCGGACCTCTCCTAAAGTGGATCAAAAATTTATTGACAGATCGCGGACAGAAAATAATAATGAATTCCAAGTGCTGCTCCTAGAAATGAGTATTTAGTGGTGTACCTTAAGGCTCTATCGTAGATCCTTACTTTCCATACTGTGTCCAAATGAACCCCCAAGTAAAGTTGAGTCCCCGCAGTTACTAAACACTGATGATGTGCAAATCTGGTGACAATTAACAAGAGACGTAGATACATGTGCGCTTCAGGCAGACTTATATGTTCTGATTAGCCGCGCTCAAAAGTGGCTTATGTCTGTTAACGCGACCAAGTGTTCTTATATTCAGTTTGGGGATACAACGGTAAATGGTTACAGCATAAGGAAAGAGTCAGTACCCTCAGTCAGGTCTCACAAGGATCCCAGAATGATAGTGAGCCATGATCTTAAGACCATGGTCCACTGCCACGAGGCCAAAACAAAGGCGTTTAGAACCCAATGGTCTTCAAGACAGATATTTACTAAGTTACACTATAAGATATTCATTATAGTGTGGTGGACCAGGCAATTTACGGGCCACTAAAATAGTACACACAATCTTAGTGGGGTCTAAACTTGAAAACTGCATTCAGTTTGCAGATCTCCTTTTGAAAGATGACTCGGATGTCCTGGAAAATATACAGAGGGTAACTACCCGTACGATTCCAGAACATCGTTGTTTATCAAATATAGAGCGGCTTAAAAAGCTAGACCTCTTTACTCTGTCCTACCACAGATTAATGGGTAGTCAGATTTTATTGCATAGAATGCTATGAAATGATTTTGAATTCAATCTTTTGTCTTCCTTTTATCCTACCAAATTAGGACAACACTGACGACATACGATGCGAGTACAAAAGTTACGAACGAACCAAAAACATATGACATACAGGTTTTCACAACGAGTCATGAATTTTCAGACTCTGTTATCCTAAAATATGGTGTCTGCTCCTTCAATTGACTCATTCGAAAGAAGATCAGACACTCAGAAGCATGCTATTAAAGAACTGACTTAAGCCGTAGACCATCAGTCTTCAGTACACAAATATGAATCTGAAAAAATCAGAAATCATACAAACCAATCAAATAACTGAGTTCAACTTACTCCTTGATTTGCAAGCTTTTATCATTTCTTTCGACAGTTTTAGTTTATTGATGTGTTTATTAAGTATTTCTGCCCATTTTTGCAAAGCTTCAATTATTTTCCAAGGTTCATTTATGCTGACGACTATAATAACCATTTGGTCATTGAACGAGTCCTCGGTCATCACATATTTTAACAGATAGCTTTGAATAGGGTTTCCATCTATAATGGAGACGCTTAGGTTTGCGGAAACTAAGTTAAATGTTATTATGTTGTTTACATAACTACCATCTTTTAATTCGTCTTTCACCTCGATTATATAATATTCCAGACCAAATCCTTCCCGCTTGTCTTCATTGCCTTGAAGCCGACAAATCAAAGTTGATTTTCCGCACTGATCGTCACCAAATACGACAAGATTTTTGGAGTCCGACAGACCAACTTTAGCTTTGTTTGTTACTTCATCTAGAAGCCTGGACCTACAATAGTTTGAAAGTTATTTAAGTACGTTCAACTGACCAAAGACATTTTGCCGTTTCTGTTTCTCTATTTAGAACTTTTTCACACATATTTGTGTTGTCGACCAGGTGGCGACACGATAAATTATTATAAATTTGTATGGTTGCAGCTAGTAACCTAGATAAGTCGTCCTTCAACAGAAAAGTCAAACAATTCTTAATTTTTAACACTTAACAAAAGTACTGAACAATCCTGTCGAATCACATCAAAATACCTGTCGATCATAAATTTTAGTACATTAAAATACGTTTTTAAGTAAAAAGAGAATTTCTAGCAGTCGACTGAATTATTATGACAAACCCTCATCGTGTGAGTGGTAGGTTGTCGTTCGATCAATTACAATCGATGCTCTGTAATCTGGATGTTCAAGTACAATTGACGAGGTAACATTGTGTTTCATTGTAATGAGCGGTGTCTAAGCCATTTCATCCTGTTTGGTTGTTCATGAGCTCCCACAAATTTGGTTAGACAAGAGTCTCATTAAGGACACGTAGTTGAGTGTTACTCTAAGATGTAAACATGCCAGTTCATTGGATGTCCTCGAATCTGACAGTTATCGATTCCAAGTACTACAAAACAGCAATTAATTTTCAATTCATCGTGGTTTATTTTTTTAGCGGTAAATAAATAATCGAAATCAATAAATCTGTAAGGCTTCGACATTTGACTGCATCAGCTATAATAGACCCACCTACATGGAAGCGCTTGGGTACGTCGTGCTTCACTTCTACAGCCGCTTGCCAACTTAGGCCAATCACTTCTCGATATATCGATATCCTAACAACTATACATTCGGCCCTCTTCGCTTCTGACTTTCAATCTAGCACGTTTAGATTATAAAAGGTATTAATGGTTAAGGTCTTGTCAAACTTCAAACACATCGGATTTTTTAACCGAACGTCATGAGCAAACATTCGTAACGTTAAAATGATGTGATAATATTAGCTTCCAAGATACTATTCAGCTATGAAAACATTACCCTATTGTTTAATTCATGTCTATTTCTAAGTAGATAGTCATCATATTCGAGGTGGCCGTCAAGATGTGGATGTTTATTGATTATAATTTGCAGAATTTATCCCAGGCTCTCTTTTATGTCTGTATTATTTCAGTCCATCAACTGACTAAATTTATTTTTCTCCAATTTCTGTGTAAACTATCAGCTCCAGTTAGACGAAAATGGTGTGACGAACTAGGCAACGATAAATTCAAACCCCGTGGTACCAAGGAACAATAGATGCTTTGAAGATTGTACAAAACAAAAGACATTATTACAAAAATATGTTAGTCAAAGTAGACAGAAGCGGAAGTAAGACCACCGCAGCATGAGCCAGTTCATGGCGTACGATTAAATGATGCGTGTTGATTGTCATTGAGCTTGTTCGATATTGAAAGACCCGATTGCCGGATGATTTGACTAGGGCTCAGTAAAATTTCACCGGACCTGCGCTTGCTTTTCAAACGTTAGTCAGCATAATTTCGACAGTACAAATAAACATGCAGACATTATGTCGTACATATCATTAAAGTCTGCGTAATGTAATTTGGCATGTTGCCTATACAGTTCAGGTGGAAGTACAGATCGAAACTAAACAAGACTTAAATAAAAAAATGCATGGAGTTTTATATGCGAGATCAAAATTTTATAGCTGTTACAAGATATTTCACCCTTTTTTCAAGCCAGAAGCTTCAAAATTCGTGATTAGTTTAATAAATCTTAAATTTAAACCGACTGTGCCAACTCGTTAGTGAACATATACTGAAACCTAGATGTCATTAAATGATGCACAAACTACAATTGTTGATGTGACTGAAAAACCTATTTTGAGAAATATACGAAAATTAGAAAGTATTTTCAAAATAGTGCACTTGGCAGAGAGTGGAACTAGATGAGCACCAATGAACGGAGTAAATTTGCACCGAAATGAACAGTAGGTCTTCATACTGACTAAATATGTCCTGGTTTACTAAATTTAATGCATTTATTACTACGAGGTACACAATGGTTTACTGCAAGCAACACATCTGTAAAACCTGTGCTTACTTATGTGTTTTGCTTTGCAAATCGTTGTCGTGCTACTTTTCACATTTCCACGCATACGGGAACTATTAATAAACAAATGCAAGTTTGAGTGGATCTGATAGCAAAGTACACCATCGACTGAACATGGCAATAGAAATTATATAAATGAAGTTCAAGGATTTGCGACCGTGGTGTTTATATGAACTAATAATTTTTTGTACTTGATTTCGAATTCAAAGAAGGATCGCAAAGTAAACAACAAAGGTGAGAGCAAGTTTGGTAAATTTTCATGTGGCGAATTTCATTCTCGTAATTCATGTGTACTTCGTGATTCTGGATGATTTGAACGCGGTGAGATTGGACACATTCATTGTCAGATACTCCGAACTATCAAGGCGATATTTGCGGCATCACCATAATTCTTCACGGATACTGCTTCTTCGAGTTGTCATTTTCTGGTTTTATCAAAACATTCAATGTTCCTGTTAGTGCCCATGCGGTGTATGAAAATAGCCATGCTCAAAAAGGATGAACAGTGCACTTCGTAACACTCGAGGACTAGCTAATTCTTGGTAACAAGAGTTTAAGTTACTATAGCTACGTCGTGGTAATACTGGACATTGCAGCTGACTCTGATTACATCAGAAGCGTCAATTATTAAGAGAAGTCGCAAACGCTTACTTGCGCACTGGTTGTTTTGAAATAAACAGCCTCACTGTCCAAACCATCACCACCGGACAAAAGTCCTGTCAAGGAAAACATTGAGTAAAATTGTCCTTTAGAATTGTGAAGCTAATAAGCTCACGGATAACTCGAACCTAGGCCAAAAGTGCTTGACACCTGTACTGAACATCCACCGAAGTCGCGTTACTGTATAACGGCTTTGGCTTCTCTATTATAATTTGTTGGGTTTAGTAAGTATAGCATTCCCAGTCTATTACGTCTTCGAATAAGCGAAAAGCACGACTTAGGTGTTGATATGCATACGTACCAGTACTGATAGTATCCAACCACTAGGTCGAGCCAGATGATATGTTCTTGGCATTTGATGTCATGAAATGACTGCAGTCCAAATCACTGACTGACTACTTTATCGCATAAGTGTGATGTTTGAATTGACTAATGATACTTTTGTACATGTTGATTGCACAATTTCGAATTCCAAATACAGTACATTCGTTTGTGCCTGTCTTCTTAATTCAATTGCGTTGTTTCTTGGACTCTTAGTTCGTGCTATAATTCCAATAAGTCGAAACATTATATTGGCGTCGCGATTGAGCCTGCAATGGAAAAGTTAGACATTCATTCAACTTCTGAAGCTTTTGAGGATTATTTCGAAAGGTTCGAAATCTGGGTCATGACCAAAGTTGATGAGGATGTTAATATTGTGGCATATTTCCTCACATTCACCGGTAAAGAAGCATACAGTTTATTAAGAACTCTGGCTATGCCGGAAAAGCCCATTTTGCTTCCTTATACAACTCAAGGAATTACTACTAGACTATATACTTGACATATGTCAATTATGCAAATTTTGACTGCAGTAAAGAAGGGAAATTTCCTAAAATAATTCATCAGAACATCAAAAATTCTACTACATCACATCATCCCAATCCAGTGCATACTCAAGGTTTTGCAGATAATTCATTGAGGAGTTACAGTGCGTTTCACGAAGATTGGCACAAGTTTGGTCAATGTTTGTCCTGTGGCAAGTTCCATGCTTTTAATTCATGTAAATTTCGTAATTCTAAATGCTTTAAATGTGATGATATCGAACATATTCAGTCAGCCTGCAATACTAATGTTCATGTTATTGCAACTAATGTTAAGTCTTGTAATTCTGATTCTACTGGGTCGAGTATTTATAATGATTATTTATCTTTATCAACTATTGCAATAGACAGTGTAGAGTCAAAAAGCAGTTCAGGGTTAAATGAAATCCAGAATTCTTGTGAGACAACAGTTCCTAATCAACCGATTTATCAGAATTCTCATGCTATTGTACCAGGTATGACTTTTCCTAATAATTCACATATTTCTGATGAAATTTCTTACAAATCTGAGGAAAATATGTTAAATGAACCTATTCATTATCAAAAACCTGAGGCAGTCATGATAGATGCTAATCTTTCTAATGATCCATTGCTCTGCAATGACATTCTTAGTCAATTTCATTAAAATATTTCAGTAGAAACAAATCCTGATGTCATATGTATTACCTATCCTCATAATACATTTGATCCTTGTGAAAGACTTGTTCAATGCATAGCACGAGTACTAAATGACCTCGATTACAATTCGGATGATTTCATATCAACTGCTATTCATCCTTATCACAAATCCACTTCCAATGTATACTCTAATCAATGTGAGAAATATGTTTTGAATGAAGCCACATTATTCATAACTTGGGGATATAAAGATCCAACATTATTTCGTGGGGGAGGATAGTGTTGAAAAACACATGGTTCCAATTCTAGATATTAATGATTTCGGTACAAAACCGACATGCTGATTGTATACAATTCCAGGTTAGTCTGTTCCGATTTCGTTTGTTAATTTCAATACTAATGAGCACATTCTAGATACTACAAAGTTTTCATCCAGTACAATGTCGGACAGACTCCGGATGAACAAGAAGACATACAACCGATAACAAACACTTATACTTCTACTTAAGCTGTGGCGGATGTGGTTTTTGAATTGACTAATGATACTTTTGTACATGTTGATTGCATGATTTTGAATTCCAAATACAGTACATTCGTTTGTGCTTGTGTCTTAATTCAATTGCGTTATTTATTGGACTCTTAGTGCTATAATTCAAATAATTCGAAACATTATAATAAGTCAGTCGGTTCCAGGTCGATGATTAGGGTTACGGCCTTACATAAAACATGCACTTAATTACTAGTCGCATCTTTTTACCTGTCGAGACGGCGTGATAAGGTTGGTCAATTTACGACACACAGCTAAAGCAAATGTTCTCTTTACAGAACCGCTTTTATAAGGTGAAGTTGCACAAATATCAATTCCGAGAATGCTGCTTTTGAATAATGATGACCGGAACCTAAGTTATGAGTCACAAGTTGGAGGCGCTAGTTTGATATAAACAGTATAACGAAAAAGGAACTCGAAACCCAAACATCAGAATAAGAGAAAGAAGAATGAAAATGTTATATTAAAGCATACAGTTCGTTGTATTGAAGATAATCTGAATTGTTAACTGAATTCGTAGATCAGGAATATGGGAAATAATAAGAATCAATGCATAGCTAAACTTGACTTGGTTCCTCGTTAGTGCTAGATGTTGTCTTCGTCAGTTTAGGAGATGAGGAGACAACTGATTTCATTTCGTCGAAGTTTTGTTGTCGAACATCACCTAATAACTGTTCAGGACCATTGTCTCCAACATCCAGTGCTTCACGAGAGCTTTGAGCCAACCTCTTTAGCTCAGATTGAATATCTTTTTGTGAGATCGACGTCCTATCTGCAGTTAATTTTAAAAAAAATCAAATATTCATTAATTTAACATGAGAAACGAAGTTCATGAATTTCTACAAATTACTTTCGCCAAAAAAGGATAAGAAGCATCAATAACTTCTTAAATATATTTTGTATAAGAGCAAACAACTAAAAAATCAAAGCTACCAATAGAATAAGCAGCTTAATGCTTCGCTAAGAAATTTTTCCACGTCACCATTCTTTTAAATGCTTAATTACTTACGCCTGTTACCCCAATGGAGCATAGGCCGCCAACCAACATTCTCCAACCCACTCTGTCCTGGGCCTCCTTTTCTAATTCCATCCAATTCTTGTTCATCTTTTTCATGTCTATTTCCATTTCCCGGCGTAATGTGTTCTTTGGTCTTCCTTTTTTCCTTTGACCTTGAGGATTCCATGTGAGGGCTTGTCTTGTGATGCAGTTGGGTGCTTTCCTCAATGTGTGTCCTATCCACTTCCAGTGCTTCTTCCTGATTTCTTCCTCCGCTGGGATCTGGTTTGTTCTCTCCCACAGTACGCTGTTGCTAATAGTGTCCGGCCAACTGATCTGAAGTATTTTGCGTAGACAACTGTTAATAAACACCTGTATCTTCTGGATGATGGCTTTCGTAGTTCTCCAGGTTTCCGCCCCATACAGTAGAACTGTCTTAACATTTGTTTTGAAAATCCTGACCTTGGTGTTGGTTGACAGTTGCTTTGAGTTCCAGATGTTCCTCAGTTGTAAATATGCTGCTCTTGCTTTGCCGATCCGCGCCTTCATATCTGCATCAGATCCACCATGTTCATCAATGATGCTGCCCAAATATGTAAAGGTTTTTACATCTTCCAAATCTTCTCCGTCAATTGTGATTGGATTGGTGCATGCTGTGTTGTATCGGAGAACCTTGCTCTTCCCTTTGTGTGTATTGAGACCTACTGCTGCTGAGGCTGCTGCTACACTGTTCGTCTTCTCCTGCATTTGTTGTTGCGTTTGGGATAGAAGGGCCAGATCATCTACGAAGTCCAGATCGTCCAACTGCATCCTAGATGTCCATTGTATCCCGTGCTTCCCTTCAGATGTTGACGTCTTCATGATCCAGTCGATCACCAGGAGAAAGAGAAAGGGTGAGAGTAAGCAACCTTGCCTAACACCGGTCTTCACTTCGAACGACTTTGTCAACTGTCCTCCATGCACGATTTTGCAGTGTAATCCATCATATGAACTCTCTATGATATTGACTATCTTTTGAGGCACGCCGTAGTGTCGAAGAAGCTTCCATAGTGTTGTCCTGTCCACGCTATCAAATGCCTTTTCGTAGTCAATGAAGTTGATGTAGAGTGATGAATTCCATTCAATTGATTGTTCCACAATGATCCGTAGAGTTGCGATTTGGTCTGTACACGATCTATCCTTGCGGAATCCTGCCTGTTGGTCACGAAGTTGGGCGTCTATGCAGTCCTTCATCCTGTTTAACAATACTCTGTTGAAGACTTTTCCCGGTATTGAAAGAAGAGTGATGCCCCTGTAGTTATCACAGCTGCTGAGATCGCCTTTCTTCGGTATTTTTATCAGAAGTCCTTCTTTCCAGTCTTTTGGTACTTGTTCCTCATCCCAAATCTTATTAAAGAGAATGTGGAGTATCCTTGCAGTTGCCGCTACGTCTGCTTTTAGTGCCTCTGCTGGAATGTTGTCTGGACCTGCTGCTTTGCCACTCTTGATTTGTCTGATGGCCATGCTGATTTCTTCAATTGTTGGTGGGCCAACGTTGATTGGGAGGTCCGTGGGTGCTGCTTCGATGTTGGGTGGGTTCAGTGGAGCTGGTCGATTCAAGAGTTCTTTGAAGTGTTCTACCCACCTGTTTTGTTGCTTTTCAATGCTAAACAAGAATAAAGGTTGACTATTCAAATACAAATAGCGATCTCAATTTTACAGAAGATATTTACAAGAAAACAACAGATTCAGAGTGAAGATTTTTCAGAAAAAAAACCTGATTTGTTAAATCTATGGATGCACTTCTATAAGTCCTTTCAATGTAGGAGAAAGAAGAAACCGATAATAAGATGGCGATAAAAGCGTTAACGAAAATAAACACGAAGTTGATAGAAAACTTAAATGATAGGATAATTTTGTGACCAGATACTACAAAAGTAAACTGATGAATCCAAGAAAAGCTCGTCACGTTAAACCACATATGCTAAAGTAATTACCACATGTACTGAAATGAAAAGCTTCGAAATCCACAATTAGTTAGGAATTGGAAAGACAAAAGTCTATCTGCTCATAACATTACACTTTGCAAGAGCAGTGAAGCAATAAAAAACAATAAGAACGGAAATATATATAAGATAGAATCCTCTAAGAATAAAAAAGAGTAGATACATTTAGGCTATTACGACAGATAATAACCGAAGTTACATTTCATATAAGTAATCACTGAATGGTATTATTCCAAAGTCTTATACAATGGGTCAGCAGTAGGCAGCTTCAAACTAAACATCATGAAGTTTATCCTATACTATTCATAACGACGCCAGTATCATCTGTTGTGGCACAAACGAGCTCCAAGTGCGCAATTCACGTTCCTGTAGTCTCGACGATAGCACGTTTACGAAACTGTCTTATGATTTAGTTATCTGTAATCGATTTGAAACTCCGCCTGGAGTCTCTCCGGGGGTTACTGCCGGTCCCAAGCCCGGATAAAGGAGGAGGGTTGGGCATGGGGTTAGCGTCCCCATCCCGCAGAAAACTAACGCGCAAAAAACGCTAACCAGGAAAAATTATTCAAACCTTTTAACCTCTGCCCTGGGAGTCAGAAGGTCTTCATTTGGAAGAACTATGACGCCTCATGATGAAAGCCGAATTCCTTCGGAAGTTACGAGGCCGGTGCCCCTTCTGACAACCAGAGCGATCATTTATTTAGGTACATGGAATGCTCGTACAATGTGAGACACCGGGAGAGCCTTCCAAATTGCTGCAGAAATGAGAAGATACAACCTAGAGGTACTTGGGATCAGTGAAACACATCGGACGCAAGTTGGACAACAACGACTAGCTTCACTGGAGCTTCTGTTATACTCCGGCCATCAAGAAGAAAGTGCCCTACATACACAAGGAGTTACATTGATGCTGTCCAAACAAGCGCAAAATGCGCTTATAGGATGGGAATCTCATGGACCAAGGATAATCGAATCTTCGTTCAAAACAAAAAAGGAGGGCATTTCAATGAATATTGTCCAATGCTATGCGCCTACCAACGATTACAATGAAGACGCTAAGCATCAATTCTACAATAGGCTGCAGTCAATCGTCGAGAAGTGCCAAACAAAGGACCTGACCATTCTGATGGGAGATTTCAACGCCAAGGTTGGAACGGACAACACTGGATATGAAGACATCATGGGACGACATCGACTGGGAGAAAGAAACGAAAATGGTGAGAGATTTGCAAACCTATGAGCCTTCAATAAACTGGTCATAGGTGGCACCATATTCCCACATAACCGCGTTCACAAAACCACATGGACTTCACCGGATCACACCACGCAAAACCAAATCGACCATATTTGCATCAACAAAACGTTCCGGAGGACTATAGAGGACGTGGTGGTCGGGCTTGCCTATCGTGATGACCCATCCGAGCTATATTGGCTGGAACATGTGTTCCTGTAGGTTCTACCATGCCAGGCAGGTCGATTGGTGAACGGTAAAACTAAAAGCAGCAACTCAAAGTCTGAGGGCGAAGTCGTACTGCTGACTGTACAGAGGTGTGACAGCAGTAAGGTGTTTCCTTCAGACAACCAGCATGACAGCGATGCTGCCTTCCCACAAGGAGGGGTGGGGTTAGAAAAGGTCGACCCTAAAAATGTCACACCTCACCTTACCTCACGGATTTCCGTCTCCGGCGGTAAGGCCATCTGAAGAACGGAGCTAACACGTCAAAAACCTTCTACAAAAAGGCCGTGCGCGACCGGCCTCAAGCAGTTGTCCCTTGGGCTCTGCGGTCACGCTCCCAGGTCGTCAAGACCAACACTAATCCAATTTCCTTTTCAGGTTCCTCAAGAAATACCCTTCCACGGTGTGGGCAGCCGGGAAGTGACATCAGCCCTCATACTCGTAACAGCACGCGAGACCAAGTTGGTCACATTCAAATCCTTCCTACACCTCCTAATACCTCTCTTATCTCCATGACTAACCCTCCTCATGTCTCTTTATCACATCGCACCGCTAGGGCAAACGATTCGAGTACGTGGAACGCTATTCCTGGTCTCCTGAAACCACGCTCTAAACTACACGTTGGAGCTTTTAACGTACGAACACTGTGCCAAATAGGACAGCAGGCTTCCTTAGCTAGGACTTTAGAATCTCGCGCCATCGATGTGTGCTGCGTCTCCGAAACGCGCATACAAGATCCGAGTAGCGTCATTCATTTGACTTCACCATGCCAAAATAAAGAAACGACTCGATTTACGCTTCGTGTATCTGGAAGCCCTGATTCTGCGTCGCGTGGCCTCGCCGGCGTAGGTATAGCATTGAGTCCCAGAGCAGAATTAGCTCTCTTAGAGTGGATCTCAGTAGACAGCCGTTTGTGCGCTGTCCGACTGAACGGAACAGTAAGAATCCGGAAAGGTAGGGACACCCGTCGTTGCCTCTTCGTCGTTTCTGCCTATTCTCCCACTGACTGCAGCTCAGATGATGTAAAAGATGAGTTTTAAAGAAAGCTTTCCGACCTTCTCCGAAAAGCTAGGCGATCGGATGTAGTAATAGTGGCCGGTGACTTTAATGCTCAAGTAGGTAAACTAAGCGATAGGGAAAGACACCTAGGTGGATCTTATGGTGTCGTGGCTCAAAGAACAAATAATGGCGACCGTCTGTTGCAGCTATGCCTAGATAACCGCCTGTTCCTTGCAAATACTAACTTTAAGCATAAGGTAAAACATCTTTTAACATGGCGACCCCCTAATTCGTCCCAACGTTGGACCCAACTAGATCACATCGCTATCAGCCAC